GCAATAAATAATTACTTTGGACAAATTCTTACAGAATATATCATTTAAGTTTGGACAATGCAATGTTTCTTTCAAAATTTATATCATTTTCTATTATGTAGTACATATAGATTTTTATAGTTTTGTGACTTGTTTATTTTGTGAATTTATTAAATAAAATATTAAAAAACAATAATTCTTAATTTTTGTGGAACTTCGGATAATTGGGACAACATGTACTAGTCCCTGTGACATGTATTTTAATTAGTAATTTTTACACAATTTGTTACTTTAAATGAAACATCAAGGAGTTACAACATTTTTGCTAATAAAATAAATAATTTTGTTGAAAGTTATATACATTTCTTTATTAACATAGATATTAAATTAATTAAAACAACAAAAAATACGTTGAAAAGTTTAATTATGTTTCGTAATTAATCAAAAGCTTAGGTAAATTTCTGCTTAATATCATATTTATTATGTGTAAAGTGAAAGTTGAAAAAAAAAATCAAATTTTGTAAAAAAAAGTTAACTTCTTTCTCACAGAAATTTATTATACGCAGCGAATAATTCAGGTTTGTCATCAAAGAATGAAAAGAGTCAAGCAGAACACTTACCTTTATAACAAAATAATTTACTGTGAGTATGGATACTTTAGAGTAAATCGTCAAGAAAATGACAAGCTTTAAAGAAAATGCGTCTTTGATTAAATACGAAGTATTTAATAACGGTTGTAAAACCTACTAGAAACTTTATACTAAAACGCAAAGAAAGCTTACAAAATTAGAGCCCATCAAAGAAAATTTACTGTGCAGCAGACCCACATACGAAAACGGCATTTTCATCGATTTTACTTTAGTACATTTAAACTCGGTAATCTAATACATCCGAGTGTATCCAAAGCCAGTTTCAACCCGACTTTATATAATCGAATAAAACGCAAACTCCACAAAAGAATCCCACTTATATTTCCTTTCCAGGACTTCGTCCAAAGTTAAATTAGCTTTGCCGCAAAGAGAAGAAACGAGAATATGCAAAAACGTGAGGAAATAAAAGCAACCGAAGAAATCCAGCAATTATACACGTTTTATTCAAACCTTTTGTGTTACGAGTTCAGGTTTTTATTCTGTTTTATTTGATAGTGAAACGAGTGCGGTTTAAGGGTGGTGGTTGTATTGATTTTAGCAAACGGTGAGCGTAAATGAGCAATCTTTCGGAATACGCGTGGAGAGTGAAAAATGGCTGAGTCAAGTGGAAAACCATTACACGCCGCTGGAAAATATTGGATTGCAATAATATTTACATTCGGGGAGGCAATTAAAACGCGGGGATGACCAGAGAGAGAATTTGTTGACGTGCGCCGATAAATCAAGTCCACGGATTCATTAAATAAAACCCGGAGAGAATTACAACAGGAGGAAAAAAAAAAGCAGAGAAATTCGAGTGGGATTTCAAAAAAAAAGAAGAAATACCCACATCGTTGTTTACGGAATGAATAAACAGATATTCGGATGGAATCTATTTATACGACGGGGTTGAAAGCGAAAGCGAAATATCGGACGGCTTTAATTCAATCCGGAATCGGTTAGTAGGATGTGTAAAAGCCCTCTGCGATTCCCCTTTGGTCCGCTCAATTTGTGTGTTTTTTTTTAGTTTTAGCAGAGCTACAAGCAGAAAGTAGGTCAACATCCTGCTGAATGGATGGGAAACGTATGAAACAGGGATGATTAAATCGTATGTCGGTATATATGTATTTGTAAGTTATTGAGTCTGTACACATTTGGATTAGTTTTATTTTCCCACAAAGAACACATACATCTGTTAATATATATATACTCATATTTTTTTTGTCTTTAAATGAATTATTTATAATTAATTGCTGTCTCGTAGTAAATTTGAGATACCAAAACTGCTCGTCGTGAACAGAGCTAGTCTTCCATTAATTACAACATGTACACATTTAGAGACTGGCTTAAAACGGTCCTATTATTTATTTTTAACCTTTCTTTATACCAATTGATTTCTTTCCCCCTTTCCCTCGCAGAAAAAGGCAGAGGGGGATGAACGGGCAAGAGAAGGTCCACACTTCGCTTCAATTCTCGGTTAAGTTACAATAATAATAGGGATCAAAAACGGTCAACATTGATTACATTTATTTTATTTTCGGAAGGGGTGGGATAATATATTCATATTTATATATTTTTTTTCCTTTCATTTTATTTTTTTGAACACTACTGTTAAAGGGATGTATATGAAGTTCTAGAATAGAGTGAAGAGAGAATAATTACGTCTTCGTTTCAATTTCGAAGTTAAGTCATTCTATGTAGCACGAGGGCCTCGTCTCGTTTAACACCTAGAAAAAATTTACTTTTGAGACACAAGCCTTGATTTTTTTTTGGTTGCTATTTATTTTATTACATCTATCTATGTTTGACTTTAAATTATTACGAAAGTTCTGTTATCGTTTGCTTTTTAAGTGGGAACGAGAGGAGACGCAGGATTGATCAAGGTAGGACAAATGTCTAGTGAACATGAATTGATCATAGTGCAAATATTTTCAATGTGCGACGCATAGGAGTCTCCTCAGAACAAATACGAAAGCAGATCGAAACCAAAATGTACGTACGTATGAGAGAAAAATAAGAAAAACAATGAAAGATGAAAAGCGTCTCTAGAACATCAAATACATTAGCACATCATTTTCCCCAGATAGGTCCGACTCGAAACACGCGATTTAATTACAAACACACAGAAACAAAAGACGTTTTAATTATATAAACGGGTGTGTTTTCTCGTCTAAATTGAACGAAAAAAATAAATTAAATGAACAACGTTGACGAGTTCTTCAGGTGTGTTGTGTATCTGAAGAAAATAAAATAAAGAATCGTGGAAATAATAAATAAATCAATCTTAATGTTTATTTGTTTCGCTAATAAATAATATTGTGATTCATTTACCTCTCGTTTGAGACAGAATTAAATCTACATACAAATACAAAGAAAAGAAAAAGCTGGATAAATACAGTTCTAATTTAGTAAAGTACAACGTTCATTAATTTATATATCCTGTATGTATGCAGGTATAGCTCGAATCATTTCCTGAATGATTCTCAATCATTTGTTTCAATTTAATAATTACTCTTTTATAGTAGATTATATTAAACACGACAAATGTCCGTCTTCTATTAGAATAAATTACACTAAGTTTATTATCTTTGTTTTATATAAATATATGTATATAGATAAAATAATAACTTGGCCTCTAGTTAATCAATTCTATGTTTTTTTTTTTAATTTAGCTTGTAACATGTTATTTCTTACTTAGTTTCATTTTTTTGTTCTGGGTGTAGCGTGAAAGGCAGGTTATGTGAGATTATCGATCAGTGGTCCACATTTTAGGGGAAGCTTTTGGTGCGCCCAGAGACCAAAATAGTATATAATATATAAAGTACAACGAAGAGTAACCCGGAACAGGAACGAAAATAAAAGTCAATAAGAAATTTGTATAAAACTTGGAATATCTAGAATTAATTATCACTTTCATTCTCTAATATTTTTGTGTCAAATTACACTCAAATTCACTCTCTACCATTCCGTCTCTCGTTCAATCTCTCAACCTTGCGCACGATTCATTCAAGAACCAATATATATTTAGAATATAATTTTTCTCTTCGTTAATTCATTAATCATTAATAATACATCGAAAAGATAATCCTACACGTATCTCCGTCATAAATTTCGTGATTTATCAATATCCTCTATATCACATTTTACACTACACACATTGAATACGACATAATCGATGTTCGGTAAAACGGAACGAAAGATGTATGCGTATCGAAGCGACAGATTCCAAAAAAAAGGACAACAGTGAAATGGAGACAACATAAATGAAAATACGAACTGGAAATATCAAAGCAAAAAGTCTAATCAAATAATATGATTGATTCGCTTTAGTAGAAAAACACATTTAGAAACATATGTACGTAAGTGATATTTCTCAATCACTTATGTACTATAATTTGAACAGCGCGATTGTTTTCTTTTTTCTCTTAATTATTAGAGCTAATTCAGAACGAAACAAATCATAATAATAGACATGCTATGCAATTCATTCCTACATGTACCAAGGTAACACACATATGTTTTACAGTAGGCAAATGGGGGGATATCGTGTGATCAACATTGAGAATACTCGGAGGTATCTTATCGCAAAAAAAAAGAAATAATGGAATTATAAGCATATATATCTATGAAGGTAATAATAAATATATATGCGGTGGTGTTATGAGAGTCAGTAAATCTAACGGGAAGGCAGCTTTTTTCTTTTCTTAATATTTTTTTGTCTTGTTGTTCATGTAAGTATCAACATTTGATATGTGGTCTTAGAAAGATGCCTCCACTAGGTAGGTGCCATCCATGCCACCGCCCGTTTGATTACTTTGAGCTGCAGAAGCAGCGGGCATATACTTGCCGCAAGCTTGTTGGTATCTGCGGGGGCAACACCTGCCACAGCAGGACTGCAAAAGGCCGATGGAGACGGCGGAGTGAGCGGGACTGGCCATCGGTGACGGTGAACCAGGTCTCTTCGGATGTCCGTTGTACGGCACCTCCAACTCAACGAATTCCCTATCCGTGGTCTTCTCCAGGCAGCGCAGCAGATGGTGGTGCTGTAGCTCGAAGATGTCCTCTTCGCGGCAGTTTTCGTCCAATTCGATGCCAGATTCCTGAGCAGCAAGACGCGCTTCCGCTGCCTTCTTCTTGCTGACGAAAGCGGCTCCAGAAGAGGCCTTCGCGATCCTGATCCTAGCCAGTCGGGCTTTCTGTAATCAAAAAGCAAAGAAAAACGATTTCGGTAGAGAAACATTGATGCAACTTGGATTGATGTTTTGAGCATTGCTGCGTGTATGCATACCCTTTGAGCTTTGCGTTTGTCGGCTCGTTGATTCTGATGGTAGATTCTGCTAAAGTTGGAAACGATGACAGGAACGGGTAAGGCGATTACCAACACTCCGCTGAGGGAACAAACACCTCCGACGATCTTACCGGCAATAGTCTCCGGCACCATATCTCCGTATCTGAAAAATAGGAAGAAAGAACCACAATTGTAGATCGCCGTAGACAGTTGGAAATGCAATCCACTTGCCCCAAGGTAGTCATTGTTACAATCGTGTACCAAAAGGCGGCCGGAATCGATGTGAAATTGGTGTCGCGTACATTTTTCTCGGCGTAAAACATGACTGTGGCAAAGATGATGATAGCCATGGCAAGGGAGAAGACGAGGAAGCCTAGTTCGGAAGCGCACGACTTAAGGGTGTAGCCGAGAATTCGTAGTCCTTGGGAGTGTCGGGAGAACTTGAAGATACGGAATACTCGGAAAACGCGAAGGGTGACAAAAGCGCCGGAAACATCATCGTTGTCTTTAATTCCTAAACCGATATAATAGGGTAGGATGGCTACGACATCGATGATACTCATCACGCTCCTAACGAATTTGTAGCGGCTCGGAGCGGCGAACAGACGGAGCAGGTATTCCGCAGTGAAGATCATCACACATGCGGTATCTAAGCAAAAGAATACGATTTTGTAGCGCTCGCCACAAGGTAGTGGACCAGCTTTGCCAGGCCGTATGCCACATGGAACTGTCTCCACCACGTTGGCCATCACGGAGACGGCGATGAAGAAGCCTGTAACATAGTAAAATACCAAGGCAGCTGTGGAGGTGTGCGGATTCTCAAAAGCGCGCCACATCTTCTGGCGGATGTTCGTAAGCTGCTGAAGATTGTGGTCGCCGTTCTCAGAGAGTTTGTCATCCATAAGACGTTCTGCATTTTCGCGCTTCCTATCGCGGTAATCCTCATAGCAGCAGTCGCCGATAACATCTGGGAGTATACCGAAGAACGCAAGTTCTTCATCGTAGCTAGTGAGGCATTCATGCTTCGGGTAGTGGAGCTTGCCAGTCCGATAGTAGTTTAGTATGTGCCTGAAGATGTCTGGATCACGATCGAAGAAGTACTCCTTGCACTCCTCGTCATAGAAAAACTCTCGCTCATTTGAACCTAGGAGCGTATCTGGATACTTCTCGAGCGTGTTCCTCCAGGTCTCAAACCTACGGCCAGACACGTTTATTAGTAGCTTCTCATCATCAGCCTTGCGACGATCCTTTGGTATAGGTGGCGGCGGAAGAGGATGAGTGGCAATAGGGACCCAACCGATGGCCGCCGCCCGGGCAAATGGCAGCCAAGCGGCGACCGAGGCCATACTGTGAGGAGGAATGTTCGCACTTGTGTTTATAACATCACTGGTACTCACTCCCCGACCTCCCGCACAGGTTTGTTATGACGCTACTATTCCATAATCAACGAAGGAGGCGCGAGTTCGGATCTACTTGGAGCGCGTGTGCAACCACCATGTTGGCATTGATACTGCGGTGGAGATGCGTAAAAAGGGTTGGGGATTTCCCTACAGCAGCGCCTCCATGTGCGGACGAGATGCGCCGCCATATCCCCAAATATACCATTCGGGAACTAATCCAGACCTATCCCCTCATTCCACATTCCCGAACACTGTACCAGTCGACCAACAGCCTAAGGCCCACAGCCCTCAACCCACAGAACCCCCGCAATCCCCACACCCCTATACTGGAACAAAAAGAAGTCCTTTCTCATATACACACATTCATATCCTAGTATTACATTTATATTTGCTATAAAAACCACAATTTACTATTATTTCTGCTCGCTTTCATTTGCATTCGTCAAATCTATCGCTCCCACTCTAGCATTTTCATAGCCTCCTCCAGCCTCTTCCTAGCACAGAACCAAATAAGCTCGTAAAAATAAACTCATGCACGTCTGGTACCCGGGAATTTGAACTAACTTAATTATCCAATGAAATGAAACGGAAGGATCGACAGGCGCCAACCTGCTCTCGCTTTCCAGAGCGGAAAGTCCTTTCTTTATAATTATTTATTTTATCTTCTCAATTCCTGTTGTTTTGTCTTTGCAAATTGACACGGTGAGCGAAATGTTACAACATGCGCACGACCCACTATAGATCCTCTTCTATAAACCCGCTCGATAGAACTAAATTTAGTTGCGACAAAACTTGAATGGACCTGGCTAAAAGTAGCGACGCACTCTTTATAATTACTTTACGCTCGTGGAGAATATAAACTCGCGGTGTCTAAAATATAAACCCGAGCGTTCGAAGACCCCTCTTACTGTAACCGCGAAAGGGGATTGAACTGTCGCACTCTAAACAAACCTTCGAACAAACTCAGTACTTCGTAAAGAAACTAGATTTTAAATTATCCTGCGGGATTTCCGATACATGAAATCCGCTCGATAATAATGTACCACGAAATAACCTGCGACATCTGCGAAAGAGGATCTGAAACGAAAGGATAAATTTAAAAGTAAAAATCTATAACATAACATTTTCTTTCAATGTTAAAAAACTGTAAAGTTCACATGCTTTTATATATTGATCCTGATTTCAACGTATAAAGAACATAGAAAAGTATGGAGTAGCAACAGTTATTCCTTCGCTTGTCTTAATTAGATTATACTTCATTCATAGGACATATTGCTGTTACAACATTATAGTTGTTTTTCAATTTAACTTTAATATAGACAATATCTGTTGTAAAGTTCTTATTGAATATTAAACTAAATTGTAAAAAAAATGTTTTTTTATTAATATTGATTAATATTACAATTTTACAGATGTCTCTTTAATCATTTTTTGACTGAAGATGAAAATAATTGGATTTAGTTGATTGTCGAAGTTTTCGAATTAGTAAGAAAACTTAATATTTATTTTTAAAGATTATTATTCAGTTTCAGATAAATAAAACAAAGCTTGATTTCTGATTAATGCCTTACTTTAATTCTACAATGTACACTTGGGTAATTGATGTAACCTTTAGGGTGGCATTATCAAATGAGTTTGTCTTCAAGTACAAAGGTTAGCAATCTAAGTTCAATTGGTTAATATTTATGTGATTGCTTACCGTGCAATGTCTTCCTGAAGCAGATCGATAGTCGTTCTTGTGTTCGTAATAAATATGTTTCTGGTATAGTTGGAGAAAAAAAATAATTAAAATAAGTACTTTAAAACTGTTTCTGTATTCTGTAATAATGTAAAAACTGATACATTGTTACGATTCTCAGTAATATTTACAATAGTTCCAATTAAGTTATTTACGTTTAGAAACCTTACAGACTAAACACAATTCTAATAAAATATTGATGAATGTTTCTTAATATATAAACACTTTTTCCTCTCCAGACATATCTATATTAATATATGTATATGCACAATTCATATATGTACAAAAAATAGTCAAAATACAATTATGCGTATCCGAGTAAGTAAAAAAATAAGGAATTAAAAAAGATAATAAGATTCAAAAATACAAAAAATCACTGGACGTGAAAGTACCACAAAACTGTAGTTCCTGCTATAATAAATATCAAAATAGTCATTTAATTGGCAATGAGGGATAGTATATTATGTAAACCGTATAAGTATATAAATAATACGCTTAAAGTAGCTAAGGAATCAAGGAATAAATAAATGGTCGCGATCCGGCCTCACATCCACTAATTGGACTTCCACCGTCCATCTAAACGTTGAAATAAAATACGAAAAAAAAAATTAAAAAATACCATAATATATTTTTTTAAGCAAAACCGCCATTATTTTGTCTACCCGAGTTCGTTTACGTGCTTTTTCGAGTATGCTGCTTCATTTTTTTTTTATTTAAATTGTTTGCTTTCGTTCAGTCGATATAATAATAACGAAAGGACAAAACGAGAATGTACGTAGGCCTTCACATTTATGTAAATCTAAGACTAACTAATTAAAGCTAAAATAATAATCATTGCCAATGAAATGTATATGTTGTTTTTTTTTGTTTTGTTTGTTTGTATTTATATTTCTTTCCTCTCATTTTGTTTTGTTTCTCTCTAAATCTAAGCTATTCTCTTAGGGCCGTAATCTGGGGATGCCCTCGGTGCCCTGTCGACATGTGTGACACATAGAAATATTCTTTTCATTTAAATTTAATAAATTTTTAGTAAACACGTCCCATCAGCAATAGCGAGGCACTCAAGGTAGAAAACTTAGAGGTACTCAATACACGCACAGCGTCAGGATCGCCTGAATATATATAATATTGTACATATAGCGTAGGAACAACATTCTATCAAAAATTTACTAAATTACTTTTTGAAGAAGCATATTGTAATATGGACTCGTTTAATAATTAAAGCTTTTCAGGCCCGCCTGTGCGCGTACGCCTAAGTAGGTCTAAGTCTTCTGTAGTCTGCCGACGGAGGGTTAAGTAACGTGTCCATTGAATACAGTCACCTGATCTTGCGCTAATATCACAGAAGAGCACGGTTTAAATTTTTACTCGAAGCATCGCTATGATCTCTCCGCACTACGTAATATGGATGTCAGAGTAGAGAGGGATCAGGTGACTGGTTTGGTCAGCATGCTGACGTTTCTTCTCCACCCAGAGTGTACGCGACGTTCCTTAGACGGTGTGATAAATCCAGACGGCGGCAATTTATATCACAATCCAACGCTTCGATTATCTGCGAATGGAATGAAAACAAGGAAAAACCAACAGTTAAAACCATTACGTATCAAAAAAGTATCAAGCTCTTACCTGTTCCTTATACTTAGTAACGTATATATAAAGTTCTTTCAGAGCTGCTACCTTGTCGAATTCGTCTGCATGCTCTACGGATAATAGCTGCATCGCCGATACCATTTCTTGATCGCTGATTGCATTTTGATCCGCTATGCTGTTATAGAACTTGGCTACCATGTCACGATACCTAGGAATATCCTGCGCATATGCAAACAACAAAAATCAATAACAATAATTCAATTTGAATCAACAACAAGCTCATGAATCCGATCCTTGACATTCATATATTCGGACACAACGCAATTCTTATATAAGTTACAAAAGTATACAAACCTTCGCAAACAGCAACTTGTTGGAGGGCGAGTCCTTGCCTAAACGATGTTCGGTTGTTGAACAGGAATCCATAAAGGTCTGCGCAATAACAGAGAGACAGGAGTCCAGCGTTGCCGTCTTATTGATATCGAAAATAAAGTCGGGATTTTTGATAAAATTCACCCAGAATCTAAGTGGAAGACTGTTTGATTTCCATGCGTGTATCACTTCGATGTCTTGGATGTCATGCTTGTCAGCAGCCTCGTCCAGCAAGTCGAACAGCCACTTGACTGCAGGCGGAAGTGCCTCGTTTGCCGTCAGAATAGTATAGAAGAAATCGTCTACAAACTTCTGGATTGTACCCTTCGTGGATAACAACCTAGTCAAAAATATTTCGGGTATTGCTTTATGAGTCCTTTCGCTAGTCCTTCCATTGGGATTCTGGTGATCATCCATTGGCTTAACGAGGTGATAGATTCGCATGTTCATTCCGGTCTCGATATCACCGTTCGTTGTAATTATGGGAGATTGTGAGTTGTTGTAGTAGATACCAGCAACGCATGTGTGGCAAATCTGTTTACAGTTGCTAAAACTGTCGTTCTGTCTGGAAATTATAGACATGACTGCACTTTCTTTCACACCATAATGGGCCAAAGTGTTCAACTTCTTCCAACCATTAATGGTTTTCGTAGTCACGTCTTCATCTTGCAGCGTTAGGTGACCACCTCTGCCGTGTCGCCACTCCAGATCAACTTCATAAATCGAAGGCCGCTGCGAGAAGGGGGTGTTTTTATAGAGAGCATCCAATATCTTGGACTTAACTTGACTTATCGTATCGCAATCTAATACTTTACACTGTAACTTTTCATCCATATCTTCTTGAACAAGGTGTAACGTTACAAACGAGTGTTCGATTTGTTCTCGCAGCAGCCTCTCCTCCGAGAGGGAGTACCGAGCATCATGCGTAATCGCATCAACTAATCCTTTCTCGATTTGATGTTTAATGGCTTTGAACAACAAGAACAATGACGAACCTGCATACTCCTTCAGATAAGAATACATGCAAAGCGCCATCCAATTTGTCAACATTTTCTCCACAACGCTTTCTGTCCGTCGTAACATCAACTGAGGATGTTTTGTATTCACACTTTTCTCTACTAAACGCATCAATAAGCTTTTCAAAATATCAGTAGCATACTCCATTTTATTCATTAAGACAACCATAAGCAACGATGCAACATTAACTTTATCGCGTATATTAAACGTTTTTTGACATTCTAAGGTCTCTATAAATCTAAGTAGAAAATGTTTATTATTGATAAGCGTATCAAATTGGAACATGGCTGTGTCGTAATTTGTTCGTGGGCCGTTTGGCATCATCTTCGGCCTGTTTAATACCGGATGGTCGCTGACCCCCGGGAAGAATACTTTCATGGTGTAACTAGTATGTTCTAATGTTGGAATTCCAGAATTCTCTAAATCGGCAGTGAGGTCGGTCATATCGGTTTGGAGTTCGGCGAAGGCCTGTTTACATTCGGAACGTACGTTGCTCTCGAGAGTATCCATCTGAATTTGTATACGCTTGTACTCGCGTTCTGCCTGCGTCGACTTCCGGCGATATACAAATAATATACCCATGAAAAATATAATAAACATGACGACTCCGACGGTGATCATTGCAATCGCTTCGGGAGGCAGTGCAAACGGTTTCAATACGTCGTAACGCAGAAAACCGATGGGAAAACGAAGGCTGCGGCCAACACGTACTACAACCAATGGCAGATTAATATCAGTCTTGATTCCATTCTCGTCTGTATCAGGTGGCTGATGTTCAGGTGGTGAACAAACCAGTTGGCTCATTGCTAGACTTGTAACGTTACAGGCTCTCGAACCGATCGTTACGACGACGTCAGTCTCATCACTGGCTACGTTCAGGTTCTCACCTTCAATAACCAAAGTGTCGCCTTTGTACAGTTTAACTTTATTCGGGAACTCGAAGAACTTGGGATCGTTCACGTAGAATAGCTGTGACTTGATCGTTTCGAAATACTTATCTAAATTTTTCACAGACATCACATTGTCCATGACGAAGCCTATGCGTAGCGAGATCGTCGACTCCGGTATATTCTTATTACCCATGTTCGGGTGCTTGTACAGCGATCTCGTGACTCGATGACTCTCCAAGTGGAATTGCGTATTAACTGCTGGACTGGGACATTCCATTTGCTTTGCACTTAAAACCTTGCAAGTTGTTTTGTTTATCGGAACTGGTTCGTTGACAGAGTAGACTTCCATTTCTGGTTTCTGAATACTATCCAAGTTTGAGCCATGCACAAATATCATTCTACCCCCAGATGCAAAACTCCATAATGGTTTAATTTCCATTATAGTGGGGTCCTGAGTGTAGTTGAAAGGGTTACCTTCCAAGGTTCTATTGGCGCCATCTATGCTAAGGGTGATTCTGGCTATGTTTGTAGGACGGGATGCTTTTGAGGTGATGCATGTGAGACGAGAAGATGATGCTTGGGTGAGATTCACTTCACATATATGATCATCTAAATACGCGGTGATTTCAGATCCTATATTTAAGTATTGACCAGTGATTGCTAATTGAGTACCGCCCGACTGAGGGCCGATGGAAGGATAGACACTAATGAGTCTGATATCTTTGTAACTAAACTCTACAGATGATTCTGTGTAGCCGGCTTCGTTCCCGACTATAATTGGCGCTGTAGTTTCCATTGAAGATGGTCCAGTAGTGCATTGAATACGCACTGATATATCGTACGCAATCAATGTACACGGCACATTCCCTATACGTATTTTACCTTTCACATCATCTGACTTTACGCCTAAGTTGCTGCCTTCGATGGTAACAATAGTACCCCCTTCTATCGGTCCGCTCAAAGGTTTGATCTGAAACAGAAAAAATAAATAAAATAAAACAAATGTCAATTAAAAACAATATTTGCTTACCATATCAATCCTAGGTTTCGGGCATTCCACATGGGAAAGCTGGCATGTTTCACTGTAACTACATGTATTGCCGCACCAAGTACAATGGTATTTTGAATTTCGTGTAACGCATAGTGAACAATCTGCGTGCTCACGGTGAGAACCCAAAATATCACATTTATACAACACAACATTCATAGAATCAATGTGATGGTTTCTATTCCAAACAACTTTTACGCTAGCTTCGTATTCACCTGTATTTGCTTCATACGAATACTGAAAAAGGAAAATCAATATTCATTAAAATAAATTTACTACAATTTTAATTGCTTACAATTCGCTTTTCACAGACAATGAACCGATTCGCATCGACCCTAGCAGGTACCAACATCTTCGCGTCTTCAATATTTGTGATGCACTGAAAACCTGTGTGGTCAGCCTGCGGATGAGGCAAGTTCTCCACCTCAAAAACCATCTCCTTAGGAACATTGTTTGGTAAAAAGATAATATCTTTCCGCTTAAAGCGTGGACAGAAAGTTACTCCATGATTCGATAAGGGCATATGGTTCTGAAAAGAATGAAATTATTTTTTTTAATATTTACTTAAAAATTAAATTAAATTTTAATACTGAATTTGTTATTTCTTAATATGCATGTACAATGTTTTTTTTGAAACTTACATTTTCTCCGCTGATTATTGATCGCTGACATGTTGAGGTATTATGGGTGCACTTATTTTCGTAAACGCACCAATTGCAAGCCCATTGTGACTGGACACAATCCATGCACGTAAGATGCTTGGAACAATCGTAGTAAGCAAAATTTCTGGAAACGAAATCCTTGTTGGTTTCGGAAGAACGCACGCTAAGAGGAACCAAAACGTGATCCTGCTTGGTTGGAATGGGTGGTCGAGAATTAATGTCCGGAGTTGGACAGGATAATCCGAATTCGGCGACAATCGCGTCGATAGGTTCTGCATCGCCAAAGACGCACTTATACTTTGCACCTGATGGTAATTCCGGCAACGTTCGGATTGTCAAGCGGACCGTAGTCATTTGATTCGAAGGAATGCGATCTGGTAGCACTTGCTCGAAGTCGATGCATTGCTGACCCGTACCCAATGACAACCATCTAGGAGAGCTGTGTGAGGCTTTCTGGCAGGCGCCTCTGATAGTGCACCTTTAATAACAAGTTTGTTATACCACATGATATCATTGTTTATAAAATATTTATACCTTTTTTCTAAAGAACACCAACCACAATAAGGATCTTTCGATTCTAAACATGAGGAACAATTCGTGTAACTGCTACAATGTTCTACTTTTATTTTTGAGATCTGTAAACATGAATTAATATATAGTAATGTGTTAAGAAAAAAAGGCTTTATTAATATAGTACCTTAGAGGTAGATAGGACGTATAAGTAATTGCCGTTGGGCGAAAGAGCAGTATCTGGTAGGATTGCTTTACCGGGATCAACGAGAACCTCTTCGTATTCAGCCGGCGTCGGCGCTGAAAGTATGACCTTTTTTATTCGACCATCCATAGTACCTAAAAAGGCAAGGACATGATGGCCGGTGGAAGCGGTTGAGACGGACGAAAGCGATGTGTTGAAGGTGAGAGCAGCATTGCTGACGATCGGAGTGGCGCCAGAGATTTTCAAGCCGGCATCGCAGAAGCTAGGAACATTGCCGGCGTTTCCGGCGCTCGGACATTTGCCGTCCTGTATAGGTCCGGAAACGTATCCCATGTTGCGATACTTAACGCTGCCGTTGAAGCACATGTGAATGTTCTCATTGAATTTTGCCTCGATGTCGCGTAAGGGGTAAAAGCATAATGCGGACTGGGATTGGGGTTCATTGGTGATGCCCTTGGCCGGTCGGAAGACCGCAACCAACACCAAGGCGCCTTCTTGCACACCAATTGCCGAAGCCATCGCACTGCCAGCTGTAGCTAATTTGGCGTCTTGCACCAGATTGTATTTCTGTTCACCGTTCGCGCATTGCAGAGTTACTTCGGTGTAGGTGTTGTAGTTTTCATCATTCGTGCAGATGCGTGCTAGCCTGGAAACATACCCTTGTTCTTCTTGGCCTGGAAGATGCGATTGCTTCTGCACAATCACGAAGTACGCGTAGTCAGTAGCATTGAAACCATAGACGTATTGGATAAGGAAGTGGTCTCTGTATTTAACGTCTATATTAATCAAAGACTGCTTGCTGAATTCGTATTCTGAGTAATCCAAGGTATTCAGCATCCGGCTCGAGATAGCTGGCACATCGTGCCTGTAATCCCCGTTACTGGTGAAAGTGGTACCCACATACATAATATTCGTTCCGGCCCATTGGTTGTACCTTCTCGGACCGATGTAAGCATATGTCGAGGCGACAGGGTCATTTGCTGCGATTGCCAACGGTATGAATTCAGAAGGTCCGCTGATGTTGTTCAGCATGTACTTGTAGCACGAGCCCTGACTCAAAGATCCGCATGAGATGATGGTCCGGTTTTCCGGCTCGATGAGCAAGATCTTGTTGAAATTGTCCATAGGGGACGGGGTGATACCGTCCGAACAGCCTGTCGCGTGGCACATCGGACTGTCATTTTTCGGACCCGTCACGACCTGGGTCTCCAGGTCGAGGTTCGCGTCCAGCTGCAGGAGCCGATTGGTGGCAGCGGCGTAGATTTTGCCGGTCATTTGATCCACCACCAAGTGGGAAAAGTGCAAAGGATCTGAGGCGGGGCCCGGGTACTGAGCCAACAGGATGCCCCCGTTGACGGGCCCCCATGACCCCACCAAAACTATAAACCAGAACAACGCCACGGCTACCACGGCATTGGAGCCGGTCCTTACCACCATGAAGACACCTCGTGCATGCCACAGGCGTGCACAATACTCCGCATTACTGTAATAAAAAAATAAATATTATTGAAACATACCATATCAAGGTTCCAACAAATTCACAAGTATTTTAATGTTATTAATATAATCATAATAACAAATAATTATAGGAGAAAAATTAATAATTTGAACAAATTTACATTTAATTGAAGTATCGCACAGAACTTAAAATTTCAAAAAAGGAAATTTATTATTTCCTCTACTTATAAATTAACTCCCTTAATAGTTTATAAACAAGTGGAAAGACTGCAGTCAATAGCCTTTTGTATGAATGTATACAATAAATTTTCTTTATTATTAGTTTATAAACAGAGAGAATTCGTATTTCAAATAAATACAATTATCAATTGAAATGAAGGATTGACGACAGCTAATTTAAAATTTGAAGATAGCTCTTATTTATTTACACAAAATAAAATTTCAGATTACAACTCGCATTATCTATGAATATGTTTATATTCTTTCGATATATGCTTAATTATACACATTCTATCAAATGACTACTTAAAGAAAGTTATGAATACGTAAGTAATGAAAAGGAAACCGACATATTACTTAATAATTCAAAAACATCACGACAAATGATGGACTGATAAGTGCTTTATGGTGTCACCTCTGGTATCAGAATAAAGGAAAATTCACTAATTACACCACGACATTCGAATTACTCATTGTTATCGACGGGGGTCCCCTCCTTGGAACAAAGCCACCTTTCTTAAACAAAAGAATTTCGTTATATCCATCGTAAGCTATACAGCAGCAGCGTTTTCTGCTTCGTTTTTTTCTTTCTTCCCCGTTTTTATTTTCACCATTGTTTGCCACGCATTTATTATAAATGGAGTGTTAATAAAAAGATCTTAAGTGGATTCGTTCAATTCATTAAGGGTATGAACTCTGTAATATATACACACGCATATACATATATAAATACAAACAAAAAATAAGAGCAGCCGAGAGTTAGCAGCCATATGCTATAAATATATTACTGAAAAGTACTTGAATCGACTTATTTTTAGGACGCTTCCGGCCTCTCGACAAATTTGTAGTTGGCTCAAAATTAAGTTTAGTCCACTTGTTGCAAGAGATTTCAAATAATGCATTTCCCATAAACATGACAAACTCCTGCCGTGCAAACAGTCAGTTTGGATTATGCAAGGATTTCTGGACTGGAACAAAGGAAAACTCCAAGACCAGTTAATTGATTTGAGAAAACGTTATTAACACATTTGATATATCTTCAATAGAAATACATTTTACACATGTCATTTGAAAACATCCAAATAGCGTAATTTAAATTCAAAGCCAACCTTTTTTCTTCTCCTTTGCAGTGTCAATCTCAAGCAGTAAAAATAACAGTCTGAAGTATATACTTCAACAGACATAAATACAACTTACACAGCACTTCAATACATGATGGTTGTGTTATGATTGGCATGCTAAATGTGAAATGAATTTCAAGATCTATGGTCATACTATATCAACCATCTACAATAAGTGCTAATACCGTGGGACCGTAGCAGCGTCAAAATAAACAAATAGAAACTACCAGACACTACAAACTCATTGAACTTAGCTAAACATTCATTAATATTCCAATCAAATAAATAATTTTCTAAACTTGAGCAGTCCTTTTCTGCAACTAGTTTCCTATTTAAGAAATATCAATGACAATGAATATTATTAACATTGAAATTTTATCAATGTTGTAACATTTAAATATACCAATTCAAAGCTTAAATTGGTTGAAGAAAGTGTAAGAAGCCTTGGAAGTTTGATTATCAAATATTGCGTGTATCTAATATTAGAAACACTCCTCATTTTTACCACTAAATGCAGCTTAAGGAAACTTGATTTCTCGTAAACATTGAGTAACTGAAATTCTAAGATATCGTCTCTTATCTAAAATTTGTAATTGCAATATTCAAACAAATAACATCCTCATTTGGCCAATAAATTATTATTATTATTAACATCCTCAAATTGAATAAATACCAGATTCTGATAAAAATTATGTAAACATATTCAATTACAAATTTTTAATAATATATTTCAAGATTTAACCTATATCATAAAATAATTATTAAAAAATTTACCTACAAGTATAAAATCTGTGCTTATTTAATTTTAATTGACACATTTGATTGAATATTTAAAGTTCACATTAATAAACACAATTACTTTATTGTTAAGCATTGTCTTTTGATTTGATGCAATTAGTAATAATTAAACAACCGCAAACGTGCATTCGCTTGCATCAATTAGTCCAGATCTAGGTTCTCGTGTTTCCTTTTGATAATAGGACAATATTTTTTCCACACAAACAAACCTACAGCGCACTGCAATATACAATGGCAATTCACATGGTCATTATTGAAACAGTAGATTACAATGTGCATTTACTCTGTATGCAGTCACAGATTAAAATGATTATTAGAGAATTATAGGAACCACGGCTTTTTTCTGCATTTTATTTGTGGTAGTAACATTTACTACAAATACTGACAATTTCGTTTAATATTATGATTAAGACTTCTTTGTTTATATTTTTTCCTTAAAATCATTTCTATTTCTGTTGTATTGATATTAAGTAACAACTAAAATTATAATAATATTTATTGCAAAACTAAACAAATGCATACAAAGTGATATGAATCATTTCCTCCTTTACATTTTTCCTATAATTTCAAACAGTGTTCCAGGCTATATTATTTTAGACACTTTAATTAGGTTAATACTAGTTATTTTTGGACTAGATTTCTAAATATTAAGGAATCATTTATAATACAACTCTATAATCGTATATGAAGAAAAATGTAAATATCAATAATAAATATATTATTAGTGATGTTTACGAAATCCAAATGCTTTTATTGGAGACAATACATATTTAATGTAATTTGTATAAATCAATCGATTTTAGGTCGCTTAGCGCATACATAAAAATACAATTTAATTAAATATGCTTTACAAAATATTTTATTTTAACAATTGTCAGAAAAGGGGCTGGAAGCACTTGAATAGCTTTAGTTTTATGTTTCTAACAATAAAGAAGCCGCACAAAATGCAAACGTTTTGTCTTTCTTTCTTTGAGTTGGAAATGCAATTTGATATATGAAATCCTAGTTATTGGAAAAATTACGCGCACAATAATAAACGACTACTGTTGGAAGGATAAACATTTGGTTTGTAAATGGTGCTGTGTTTCAGGTAAGCAAATGTATATACCCTGATGGTCGGATTTCTCGGTAAACGCACGATCTCTCGCTTTGTTGCATTTTACCTATATTCTTCAGCCTCTTCCAAGAAATACGGATGAAGCAAAAAGATGATGTCGGCTTTTATAATTATTGTAGTTATCCAACTAACAATTAAGATTTAATTTGATGATCTAAACATGGTATTTTGTTAGAATGACTACAGAAAATTGTAAACATTTTGAATGTTTTGGAAACTGAAAGACTGTATTCAATCAGTGCATATAAGCTTATTATGGTAATAATTAGAACGTACTGTTTTTGTTGCTTAGAAGTCGTGGAAAGTCGTGTACACTCTTTCTGCATCTTCAACTGAAAAGAGTTTGCCATCTCGGGTGCAACGAAAACACTGCTTGCGATCGACGCAAGGAGGAACGTAATTCATATCCCATTAGCCGATTGTTTATTTACGACTCTTCAATATTTATATGGTAATGCGTAATTCTGAATAGCATACATTGAGTCACAAGATTTTCGTTATTCCACGTAAATCGGAGGAATAAACGGCGATTCATATTCGCGTTATCGCACTGCAAACAAAGGACTGTTCTTTCCATATTCAGAATGTATCTCTGGTGGTAATATGAAAGAAAATAAAACCTGCACTGCATATTAAACCGAGGAACTGTCTCGACAAAGATATTTGCCCGATAGACAGAATTGCGGATGCAGGAAACTGATACAGAATAATTACTAAAATTAATGAAAATTCAATTGCGTTACGAGCCTACGAATTAATTTATTCGATGTGTAAATGGTCTCTGACAGTTTTATTATCCAATTTGTGTGGTTCGTGAACAGGAGGTATTATTTTTCTCACAATAATGAGACCTACTCAGTCGCGGTTCTCGGAGCGAAACGTCCGAAGGGGTACCAAGACCGAAGGGTACATCTCGCGAGACTTACCTTTTAAATATTATCTAACTATAATCTAGGGATGTATTACCTTTACATCGATGGTATGATGAAGAATGATGATTGGTCAGAGGTCATTCGTTTTATATATAAAGCATCTTGGTATGAGCAAACAAAAACATTAAGGGCTATTCGGCGATGGAAAATGCGACCTAAGGCTCCGCACGCGACTATAGCAACGATTTTCCGGGTCCGCGGGGTGGACCTAGCTGCGGCTTCCTTCCCACAACAAACACAACACCGAACTATCGGAATATAACTACCAGTGTTTCACATACTCCATTTTGAAATGATCTATAAAGAATGTGTGCACGGCAAGTCTCCGTCTCGTTTTCACCGGCATTTCGGGCTCTTCACACTGGCCTGCATCTTTTCGGACATTGTCCGGTCCACGGTTTCGCACAACAACAGCGTTTTTTTTGATTAGGTGTGTCTTTGTATAAACGAAAACACAAGAAGTACAATCACACCGATGCAGGCTATCACCTATGAGCTATGCACTTGGCTTTGGAAACCTTTCTCTGTTCCTTCTTCAGCCGCGAGATGGCAAAGCCCATCGGCCCTAAGCAACGCCCCCAACCCCACCAACCCTAAGCGAAGAAAAAAAAATCACCGCTAGGATGCCATTGCAAGTCGCCAAGCATTTGAAATTTGAAAATGAAAACATGCTGATAACGTAATCGTCAGAGATCACGTGACAACAACAACAAAAAAATATATGAGTATTTCATAATCAGAAACAATTGTTAGCTCCTTGCCGTCTGGTCATATTTTTTCCACCTTTAAGCCTATCCTTGTCAACTAGTGAATACCCCAATCCCCAAGTGATAGTCCTCCATATTCACACTGCTGAATCCAATAACATTATTGCCCTGATTGATAACGGAGCAGATATTAAGGGTAATTGAAAAGTTTTAACCTAAGTGATACTTATTTGGGTCAAAAGTTGGCAGCAATGCGGGTTGCATTTAAACCATGGCGCGAATCCTCGAGCTTGATCTTGGTGGCCAAAACAGCCTTTGCACCTAATGCCACGGACTTCAACTATAAATTACTCGCCTTAAAGCGTAGCTCAACGTCTGCATTTATGCCCAACACGTATGTATTTCCTGGAGGAAACTTATCGAGCGCGGATAAGTCGCGCGAATGGCTTGAACTCTATGCTAAATTCGGATTCAACTCTAATACCTTCGATAAGCTCAACCATAAAGAGAACAGAACACTAATCTTCAAAAACGAATCTGAAGATGTCCTGCCGAAGTTTCTTTCATTGAGGATAGGCGCAATCCGAGAGACATTCGAGGAATGCGGCATTCTTATTTGCAGGAGTTATAAAATCAATTACAAGGAGAGAATCACTAGATGGGCCAGTTTTATAGATGGACCAGAAATTAAGAAATGGCAAGATAAGGTTCACGATGATCCACAGCAATTTTTGGAGCTTTGCCATAAATTTGAAGTGTACCCAGATGTATGGGCCCTTAAGGAATGGAGCAATTGGGCAACACCTGCTTCCATGACTAAAAGATTTGATACGGTCTTTTTTTTGGCTTCCTTTTTACAAACTCCAGCCGTGTACGCTGAAAAGCAGGAAGTGCAACATCTGGAGGTAAGTAGTTTTCATACTAAACAAAAATAAAATATTATATATCACATTGTCATCAGTGGGGCACTCCTAAGGACTTCATCATGAAAAATAAAAAAGAGGATATAATGGTCCCACCACCACAATACTACGAACTTTCGAGACTAAATAATTTCAAGGACATCGATAGCTTGTCAAAGTTTGCTAACGAGAGATCTGAATGTGGTTTAGAGCGGTACTTTCCCTACAGAATAAACACTGACAACGGAGTATATAGCATCCTCCCTGGAGACGATTTATACCCAGCAGAGATAGATCCGACCAACGTGGACGTTGCTTTCATGGAAAAATTGCCCGAAAGCTCGGCACAAAATAGAATTTTGCATATGTCTCCCTATTCCAATCAAATATTGGTACAAAACCATAAGCCCAAATATAATCATTTGGTGCCAATAGAACTTATCCAAAGTTCTAAGTTGTAAGGGAAATAATAAAACTCATTGTTTTTTTTTACAAACGTTTTAATTTAATCTACACAATTGACATATAGTCTTTTCATAGTGAAGCTTTTCAAGCTTCCAAGAATGTGCAGCAAAACTACACAAAATATATAACAAAAGATACATATACAAAAATTAAAAAAATGGAATTAATGAAAACCATTAGTTGACTAGTAAATAAGTAAATTTATCATTTCTTTTGGTATTACCAAAGAAACAATTGGAATGAGATTCTTTGAACGACAAAGAATAAATAAAAAGGGAACGAACAAAATCGAAGGCTTATGCGCTCTTTCTTGATTGCAAATTACTAACAAAAAAAAGTCTGCAGGAACTATAAATGATTAAAACTCCTCAAGTTTTAAGCTAGAAATGGCTACAAAAAGTTTTGTTTCTCGACATTTTTTAAGAATAACTAAGCTAAATTTATATTATTTTCAATTCACCTAATTTGGCGGATGCATTTTTTTTTGTTAGTTGCATGCAATTTTTAACTAGTAAATTTGTAAGAGGAAAGAGGAGCGATAGAAAATGGATTGTTTCGTTATTATTATTACATTTTCACCAATATATGTACTAGTTTTGTTCCCTTCTGTGCAGCGATTGCCATACCGGAAAAATCTGAAGAAAAGTTACGTTATATCGGGATTACACAACAGGAAATATATTTCATCAGAAAAATGATTATTGCTGAAATTACTATATAGAGGACGTAAGAAATTGGAAGTCGCTGGAGTTAAGGTTAAATATTTCGCATTCGCAGTATTAAAATATAAATATTAGTGAATATATTAAATGCAATTTTATTCGGTATTGCAATCCCCACAGCTGTGTACTAAATGAAAACCCTAACGAAAGTATATTGTGAATTTGGAACGTAGCGAGATTCAATTTAAAGCCACGTTCAATTTAATTTTTTAATCGAAATGGTAGTTACTTAGTAATTAGAATGTTGCACATCCGGTAAATGTTATTACTCGTTTGTTTGTACTTGTTTTGGAGCTTCTTTTCGTATTAACATTTGCTTCGTAATCGTTTTTTTTCTTACTATTATGTACATATTTTGGCATAGAGAGTGAATTTGAGATTACGAAAATATATTCGAGAGGATTTGTCTTAAATACTGTTTGAGTGGCTCGTAGACTTGATACCTTAGCGAGTTGATTTCCGGTAAATTTCTGATGGTCGTGAAGAACTCGCTGTCGGTTTCAAGAAGAACGATAGTGGAGATGAGTAGAAAAACGGTGACTATCGCGAAGGAAGGTACGAATGCTTTAACGACGTTGAACTTACGACACTTCGGGTTCGGCTGCTTGGGTTGCGCAACGTTCGCTGATGCAACATTAGAGAGACAGATCCGACCATCCACTTGGGAATGCGAGAGCGGAGTTTGACTTCTGCTCGAACGATGCGATGGGTTCGTTGCTTCATAGCTCCTGTAGCTATTTAGGTTTAACTGCGATTCGGATGACGAATGTTCAAAAGAATCACGGAAGTAATAGTCACTAAATCTATCCATTGAATCATCCTTCAGAACTAAAAGTGCATTTGCATTTACTGATAGCGATATAACGATAAGCTGATGGTTGTTTACCTGTCGTGCGTAGCTTCGCCATCCCCATGCCCTCCTGGTCTTCGGAAACCGTTTCTAATCCTGAAACATCGGTATATACTTGGTTTGCTGGCCCATCTAATCCTGAACAGAGGCCAGTGCTACTACACGGTTCCATCCGAGAACCACCAGCATCTGAATGGCTTGATCTCGTTAAATTATTGTAACCTAATTTCAACACACGATTTTCAAAGTTGATTCAATGTTCAACGACTAGGGATCTACCTAAATGCGGCTGCAGAGGAGTCGATGGAGTTGCAGGTACACTTGAGGCTTTTCTCTTAATGTTGCCGGTACACTGGTTGTTGGAGTCGTCCTTGTTTGGAGAGCCACTGTCTTCTAATATTTCCTTCTCCGTCCTTCCTGTGTACTTGAATTTCGTACCCCAAGAGAAAAATCCACCGCCGGTGACGGTGGGAGCATCAGAGCTAGTAGGTAATCTAAAAGCCAAACACAAAATCAAGCAATGTGTACACATTTAAATAGCGTATAGTTACGTAAAAAATAACATTTGTTCAATAGCACAGCGCCATACATGCCTGCAAGCAGCACCAGTTGGACATTTAAATCCAACTGTATGTTTTTTCTGCAATAAAACAGTATAACAAAATACATATGATTAGTAAGAAAATCCCGTTCTATGTTAATAGTTAAGTGACACACACAAAACTCCAAATAAAACAAGATACTCACATCATTATAATTCAAATGCACTATAAACATTTTTCCTTCATAATTGATTTTCTGTATGTCAGCCCACCGAAAGTGGTGTGTTTTCTTACATCCTTGTATGGTCAAAATCCCGCTATAATTAATACCTAAGTAAAGTTGGCTACTCTTGTGGTCCTTCACAGAATGTGGATCAACTCCATAGGTGTCCAATTGGCAAGCAAGCTTCAAAAAAGCATTTTCCACTTGGGACTGTGTCTGTCCTTTCAACTGCTTCTGATGTATATCCATTGCTTTATCCTCTATTGGATCAGTCTGCTTGATAAGCATTTTGAAATTGGAAGCATAGTTTCCCAGGTGAATCTCAGGGTCATAGTCCCCCAGTTCTGATTGTAATATGAAGGCAGCTAGCATAGCAGCTTCATTTGGAACGCAGTACAACCTTCCAAGCAGCAAGTCCCTTTTAAGCTGAAGAAAGATTTGGTAACGTGTTATCTCGTCTTTCAATCTAAATGGATCTGGAGGATAAAACTTCACTCTGAAGCTGAATAGTACTGGATCCAAATCTTTCACTTGCTTAAAAATGGACTTGCCTAAATCTAGCCAGTGCTAAAATACACAAACCAACATGATACAGGGTTTATTAAATGATTCTTTAGGTCTTACTCTCTGATCATGAAGATCCACAAACCGAAGCCCCAAATAATCATACTCAATAAGGTTAAGCTGCTGGCATACATATTCTAATAAGTACTTCCCCTTATGATGTGGCTAAAAATACTTTTAGAATAAATAGCCTAATTTGTGTAAGAATCTTTTTTTACCTTATACTCGCATTCTAGTATCTCTGTGTCTTCTAGTAATCTCACTGTACATTTATAAACAATATTACTGTCACCTCGGGAGCCAAACTTTAACATTTTCAACAATTAACATGTGGTTTAAATTGTTAATTATGATTTTTTGTGGAATGTAAATAGCATTTGCTATGTTTGCACAGAAAATTGACTTTCCTATATATCTGTTTCAAAGAAGAATAAATTTAAAAAAAAACAATAACTTCACATTTCTGACATAATTTTAACTGAGTTTGACATCTAACCATCTATATTTTCACTAACGTGAACTTGGAACTTTACTATCGCATTTGTATATGCAACCAAATATGCGTTTATGTAATTCATCTACTTCCATTATCCAAATATACTTCCAATATGGTTCATTCCTACTTATTACATTCATGTTATATAGAACTAATTATTTAAAAATTATTATTATAAGTTGCAAATTAGCTATCACCAAAAACTCTATCCTGGTAGAACCAAAGTTCTATATGTTGTGTTCTTTCCCATACTCACAATATATGTGCAATATATGCAATAAATATTTATTTAAAATGTATTGTTGAACTTTTTTCTCTTCATCTTGCTTCTTCACTCCTGGAAGAGCCAGTCACGATCTGTATAATGTAGTTGAATATATTAAGAATAGGTTGTTCGAATCCAGGTGATTCTGAAGAAATATTAGGGAAGACCTTGGAGTGGATGTTATAAATTATTGGCTGTTATGTATTATTATAGGGAAGTATGCGTGGCTAAAACAAAATTGGCTAAGGCTTTAAATATATCTGGGCGATTCTGCGCCAGAAGAGCGTCTATGGAAGTTGCCAGCTGCAGGTTCATCGAGGAGATAGTAGAGCAGTAGAGTTCTTGTCTTGTAGCCGTTGCATTATTTGGACACCCAAACAGGACGTGGTTGACAATTTCTATCTATCCACAGGAACAGAGATCGGTATTGGACAGTCCAAAGTGAAGACACTTCCAATGATTCCCTGGTGACTCGGTACCGAACATGGTTCCACCTGAATTCCAGCGGAAGCTAGTCTATTCAGGAAGTTTCTGGCTTCTGCAACCCAATGATTAGTCTTGATTTAGGCTTGTTCGCTGAAAGTACTGCCGATGAAGAAGAGAGAGAATATTACTATATTTCTTGCGCCATGTGATGGAGTCGATGTTCACTGCTTTGCAGATGGCGTACAATTTCGCTGCGAAGATGGAGCAGGAAGATGGTAATCTACCGCACTCGCAGATGTTGGACTCTGGAATGGCAAGTCCGTACGTAACCGATTTAGGTAAATTGCTAATTGAACCGTCTAAATAATAATTTCCATTTGCATACCTATATTTGGAGAATTTCTAGCAGACTCGCAGTAGCAGAGCTGGAGGATGGATGAACAGACGATTAAATGCATAGCTGTCCTCTATTTCTTCCATACACGTGATCATCAATGGCACTTCCTTTCTTCTCCAATATGGCTCATTTTCTATTTGTATTAGTAATCGAACACATATATTGACATTAACCCATTTATATAATTGGATAATTATTACTACTTTATTCATATTTGCCATATTGGCAAATAACATTAAAAATCCCTATTGAGGATCAATTAATAACTATTGTGTTTATTAATTGATGCTCAATAGGGAGTTCTAATGTTATTAAAAAAAATTGAATTTAAACATCAGTTGGCATCCACTGCTTTGCGTCGGTTCGTGAAAAGGAAGTTAATTCACGGTTCGTTCCTCTATGAGTCGTTGTCTCCTCCGGTTTTATAACTTCAAAATTGTTGTGTAACTAGTTGAAATCAGATAAACTGTTTTGTGTTTTGAGAAAACCATCATCGGAGATCACAACCCCATTAGATTTAGCCGCAATTAAAGGTTAGTGATAAATCTGATTCTAAACAATATTTTTTTTGCATTGCATTGAAATTTTTCCAATTTGTTCCCTAATCCATTATTTAGCTTGTCTTTAAATGTGCGTATTCCATAATAACTCTTAATTGTGAAATTTGTGTTAATGAATTAGAAATTTGGATGCATAAAAAATGGCGGACCGACGCGTTCCTCCGGCAACTGTTTATTGTTGATACCAACGCATTTTTATTGCAAAAATAAAATAAAAATGGAAGTCTCTATGAGGTAGTTGTGCGCGTCCCTTTCTTAAGTCAACTTCATTCCAATAAGAAGTACGCAATAATTAATGAAATTTCGGAGTTTTCTCATTAATTTTCTAGCTGATTAATCGTGAGTAATTTAAATTTTTATTTTTTCACATGTCTTACAGTTTTTATTTGTAACTTCATAAACAATATTCAATTAGTTCGAGCAGTTATGTTATAACTATCCATATCATTAGATGTGTCTGCTAATATGTGATGTATATTAATGCTAAATCAAACTCAAAGGAATTATCAATGTTTTAATATAGACCAATAGATTGGTTGTGAGTAAATGACTAAGAAAATGCATGCATTTCTCAAGCTTGAAGGATGTATCAATATGTTGAATTTGTTCCAATGCAAACTAATCAATTAGTCTGTTACTCATATCATTTGAAAATTTATTCGATGAGCATCATTTGATCAATCAGTCAATCAGTTAACATTTCCTATTGAAAATACTGATTGAAACACATATTGATATTCATTCATTGCAATTAAAAAATTAACATTTGATTAACAAATTAATGATGTTTGATATATTGGCGCTATTAATTGATCCACAATAGGGAGTTTTTTTGAATTTAAACAACAGTTGGCATCACTTCTGTTTTTGCGTCGTTTCGTGGAGTGGGAGTTCACACACAGTTTGTTGCTCTAAGAGTCGGTTTTATAACTTTAATATTATTATGAAACTAGTGTTATGAAAACAACAGAGTTTTGAGAAAACCATCATCAATGATCACAACCCACAACATTAGATTTAGCACCAATTAAAGGTTAGTGACGTTAGTGATTAATCTGATTTTAAAATAATAAAAAAAAATTGCATTGCATTGAAATTTTCCTAATTTGTTCCCTAATCCATTGCGTAGCTTCTGTTAAAATCTATATATTCCGTAATAACTCTTAATTGAGAAATTCGCGTTAATTAATTAGAAATTTGGAAGCATAAAAAAAATGCCGGATAGGCGCGTTCTTCCCGCCACTTTTTATTGTTTATTGTTGATACCAACGCATTTTTATTTCAAAAAAAAAGTCGTATCAGGTGGTACGATCGTGGCGTCTCTATTAAGTAGTTGTGCGCGACCCTTTCTTAAGTCAACATCATTCCAATTGGAAATAAGGAAATTTCGCGGTTTTCTTATTAATTTGTGTAGAAATTGAAAAGCTGCTTTTGTGAACCGTAACCAGCGACGACGATGCGCATCAATTGTGAGTAATTTAAATCCCATGTTTTTTTCTACAGCTTTTCTTTGTAACTTTCATAAACTATAGTCAATTTGTTCAGACAGTTATTTTTAACTATCTCTATGATTTGGTGTGTCTGCTAAAATGTGATGTAATTAATGCTAAATCAAGACTCGAAGGAATAATCAATGTTCTAAAATAGACTAATCGATTGATTGTCAGTAAATGACTTATAAAATGCAAACATTTGTCAAGCTCGAAGGATGTATTGGTATGTTGAATTTGTTCCAGTACAAGTTAATCCATAAGTGATTTGAAATTCTATTCAATGAGCATCATTTGATATGCTCAATCGCTTAATATTTCTTATTGGTAATACTAATCGAGACATATTGAAATAAAACTTTAAAAGTTAGTAACACCAACCATGTTTTTTTGTTTATTTATATGGATGCAAGGTATTCAAAATACCAGGTCATTCTATGCGTTTATCACGGATGCAAGACCGTCTGTGCTAAAACCTTCTCGAGGTGCATCCGTTAAGGTG